GCCCCCGCGCGCATCCATGGCGAGGCGGCGCCGGGCAGTGCGGAGCGGAGCCGCGGCCGCGGCCGGCGGCCCGAGCCCGAGGGAGGGGGGAGGCAGGGGCGGGGCGGGGCGGAGCCGCGGAGAGGAGGCGGAGCCTCGTCCCGGCGGGGGCGCGAGCTCCGCCTCCGCCCGCGCCCCCCCACCCAGGCCCGGCGCGCGCCCCACGCGGGTCGCTCTGGGGAAACTGAGTCCCATGGGGAGGCTCAAGGTCAGCCTGGCCCAAGGCTTTGCGGGCGCGCGCCGGGCCTCGCCCCAGAGGGGAAACTGAGGCTCACGAGGTGGGAAGGACGCGCCCAAGGTCACGGAGCTGGGTCTATGGGCCCGGGCCTCTGTGAGCAGCGCCTTGAGCTCAGCCTCGTCCCGAGGGCTCAGCGGGGACGCGTCCGCCCCCGCCCCTCCTTCCTGTCTGAGGTGCTGGAGCTCTGAAAAAAAAAGGCGCTTGTGCCCGAGCTTGGTCACTGGCCTGCCCTGCACAAAGACCCCGGAATGTATGTAGGGGCTGCAGGACAAGTTGGGGTCCCACGCTCAGCCCCTCTCTCGGTGTGCATGTGAGGGAACTGAGTCAGCCCTGCAACAGGGGACAATAGGAAGGGCCACCCAGGCTCCTGCTGAAGTCCCGCCTCCACAGGGCGCCGCTAGCGCAGTGGTGCTCCTGTCAGTCTGGTGGGCTTTAGGGGTCCTGAGGGAGCCCAGGGCCCCCGTGTTCTCTGCCCCCGCCACGGGAGCATCTGAGGGCAGAGCCAGACTGAGCTGGGTGCAGATTGGTGCCTCCCACCCCACTCCGCTCCCCCAGAGGGGAGGATGGTGTCAGGGAGGCAGGGGAGGAGCAGAAGAACAAAGAAGGGGAGCTCTGAAGGGGGCAATCCCCCCTCGGGCCCCTCCTGGGCACTTCCTGATCCTCATGAAATTTTCTGGGTTCTTTTGGATTTTCCTGGACCCCCAGGTCCCTCTTGGACCCTCCTGAAGGTCTCCTGGAGTACCCTGGGACCACTTGCAATCCCCTGGGTCCTCCTCAGACCCTCCGAGGCCCCCAACTTACCAGCCTGGCATTGTGTGGGCAATGATGCAGGCTTTGCTAGATGCCCTCTGCCTACTGAGACATCAGGGCCAGGAGGGCGGAGATTTGACTGTCCTTACACACAGCAGGTGCTCAGTAGTGACAGGGACGGGCCTTGCCCTGCTGTGTGTCATCTGACAGAGGATGGGCAGAGGCCCATGGCTCACCCCTGCTGGAGCTGCCCTAACTCTGGGGACTTCCGAGACCCCATGCTCCCCCAGCAGCCACCTCCCTCCAAGCAGGCGGACAGCAGAGTTGGCAGTGCCAGGCTTTGGCCCGCCCCGGGGCAGATGTGTGTTACAGCTGAAGGGGGACCTTTTATGTTCACCCTAGGAAGATGTCAGGCTGGGCAGGTCGCCAGAGCTCAGGGAGGAGATAGGCCAGGCCGCCAGGGCACCCTCCCTGTCTGGCTGAGGGACAGCACCTCCCTTAGCCCTCTGGTCACAAAGGATGCTGGGACTTGGAGCTTGGCCCCTTCTTTGAGCCTCAAGGTCTTGGGCACTGGTCTCTACCCACAGCTTCCACCCTGAGCCAGGGTTTCATGGGTGAGCTCGGGCCAGTTGGGCCTCCAGGACTCTTCATACCCGCTGACAACTTGCCTGGCCAGAGTGCTCTGTGTTTATCCATTTAGTTGACCGATTCTCAGTGCCTGACCCAGGGGCCAGGGATTCAGAATAGGGCTGATGGCCAGGCAGAGGAGACTGACAATAAATACAACAAACATGACATCTGGCAAATTCTACTGTCCACTAGGAGCTGGGAAGCACTGCGTAAACTCATGACAGCAGAGGGGTGAGGAAGGCGCAAGCAATGTCCACGGCCCCAGCAAAGTCCCTGCGGCTCCATCCTACCAGGTGGTGTGAGGAGCGCCAAGACCTAGGGCCCAAGGGTGCGAGATGAGGCTGGGGACCAGGGAGCTTTTATTGTTTTTGTTTTGTTTTTGGTACCAGGCATCAAACTCGGGACCTTCTGCTTGTGAGGCAGGTGGCTGAACCACTGAGCTAAATCCCTGGCTCCTGACCAGGGAGCTTTGAATGCTGGCCTGATAACTTCCATCACCTGTGCAAGAGACCCCAACACCCTGCCCATCTCTGGCCCTGGCCCCCCCATTCTAGGGTCAGACCTGCTCCCTGTAGACCTTGACCTACTGGCCACCCCAAAGCCCCCTCTCCACCCTTCCCAACGGCAACCTCAGAGCAGGTCCAGGTCGGAAGCCAGATGGAAGCTCGTAGGATGTGGGGTCCTGTAAGACCCCAGACAACAGAACTAGGTTGGCTAGGAGGCCCACTGGGGCACCCAGCAAACATCTGGGCATCTGTGCCTGGCGGGACTGGGACCCCAGGTTACTGCCAACGAAAGGGTGGTGTGGGAGCCGGTGTGTCTCACCCGTCTCTCAGCCACACGCAGTCATCTGTGCAGGCCGCTGCCTGGGTGGCGGGTGACAGATAAGGCTGGCTGTCATACCCCTCCTGAGTCTGTTTCCCCAGCACCTGCACAATGGGGACAGGGGCTCTGCTACTGTTGATTTGAGGTTGGCACAGTTCTTTTCCCAGAACCCTGCTGGGGAGAGGCTGCCAATGCCTGGGGAATCCCCTCCTCTGGCCCTCAGCCATGTTCTCTGGGGCCAGGGGACCTCCAGTCTCCGTTGTGTGAGCTTGGGCAGGTTACTGTCCCTTTCATGGCCTCAATGACCCCCTCCCAGGATGGAGAGGATGAGGCAGGGGCAGGAGCAGAAGCCAGCAGCCAGCTGCCAGGCCCACATGGAGTCGGCCCCACGAATGAGGCCTTGTTCCTTCAAAGGCTGTTCCAGCCTTGCCCCTGTGCCCACTGGGGACCGAGACTCCTGAATCCCATGGTTCCCAGAGACCCCTGCCTGCCATTTCCTGAGTGTCATAAGAGCCTGATAACCTCATCGAATGTTTTCCCATCTCACGTATGGGGAAACTGAGGCAGAGTTCAGTAAGCTGCCAGTACCCAGGACAGGTGAAGGATGCATGCTAAGACAGGTGCTCGCTAAAAGCATGTTGTGCGGAAATCTGCTGCTAGGAGGGTGCACAAAGTGTGGAGGGGGTTCCCCTCATTGGCTATGTACCACTATGCAAAGGACGGGGAGCCCTCTCAGTGTACCCCTTCTCTGTGGGGAACTCAGCCCGCTGAGGCCTGGCTGCCCCTGGAAGCACTCCACTCCCAGGATGGAGGATCCAGGTGGCCCCCAGGCTCCCCACCCCACAGCGACCTTACTCTTGGCAGGGGATGAGGCAGAAAGTAGGTGGGGAGACCCCCTCAAGACAGCACCAAGCAGAAAGGGGGAGCATCCCCACTCCCCAGCAGTCTGCCCCATGGGCCTCCAAGCTGGTGGCCTTCACTCCTGGGTCCCGAAAGGTCACAAAGGTCACTGAGGTTTATGTGCATGGTGCCATTCCCCTCACACACACAAGGTCACAGCCAGGCGGGTGGGGACTATGTATCCAGCTGCAGGGGCCCAGAGGACAGGTAGGCGTGGCCCTGAGGCTGGGCTAGGTGTCCTTGAGAGCCCCCACCCCAAACCCCGGGCCCCTAGCTCGGCCCTTGGAGTAGCCGCCTTGTGGCGAGTGCACAACGCCCTCTAGTGGCAGCCCAGGACAGGGCAGGGCCCCACCCGGCTGCATTATCCGGGTACCCTGAGAACTGGTGTGGGGCCTCCTCCCAGGGCTGTGGCCTGGGGCAGATGTGGGTTTCTTTGGCTTTTTTGGCATAAAAAATGCTGGATTACCCCACTCATTGAAAAATGCAAATTTCCATCCAGGCATAGTGGAATATGCATGGGATCCCAGCACCTTGGGAGGCTGACACAAGTTCACAAGTTTGAGTTGAACTGGGGAAACTTAGCAAGACATGGTCTCAAAACAAAAAAAAAAGAAAGAAAAAGAGGGCTGAGGATGTAGCTCAGCGCAAACGCCCTGGGTTCAATGGGGCGGGGGGGGGCACTTCCTGCTTGATCCTTTCTTCCTGAGCCATTAGCTGACAGACACCAATCCCCTGGCCAGGCCAGCTGACAGTCCAGCATTCTGCCCTATCCAGGAAGGGACCCTGTGGGGTCTCCTGAGGCCCAGGGCTGTCCAATTCCCCCAGGACCTGCATCCATGGTGACCTCCACCTTTGGGCCCTTTCTAGGCTGTGCACAGGGTACCCTCTAGGGCCCAGGGTTGTCTGCTCTACCCCAGCACTGCCTTTCTGTGGTTTCTGGGCTCAGCCTCTTCCTGAGGGACCCACAACACAGCCAGGGCTCTGGCTGCTCAAGCCCCTGGGCCTCCAACCTCCCTGGACCCCATGGGCTGTGGGGGAGTCCACAGAAGATCAAAGCAGGCTCAGAGGGAGACAACAAGTAGCTCCTAGACCCAGCAGATCCTGAGAGGTTCTGATCTGGCTTCCAGCTGCTCCTGCCCAGCCTGGCCTGTGACCCTAACTTTCACCCTCCCCGGGTCACCCAGACCAACCTGGCTCAAACTGAGGTTGGGACATCGGCCCGAGCCCCAGCCCCAGCCCCAGCCCCAGCCCACAGCCCTTCCACTGCAGCCACAGCCCAGGGCAGACACCAGATCAGGTGGGCTTAGTCTTTATTGTGCAGGGGTGGGATGGGAGGGGTCCCCGTGTGCCCAACACTGGAGAAGGGGCTGCTGTCCCTGGGATAGCAGGTAGCTCTGCAGTCCCACACCCTGGGGACTGGACATCAGGAGAGAAATGGAGTCCTCTCCACCAAGAGGTCACAGACAGACTGTGACCTTCAGGAAAGAATAGCGAAAGCACAGGGGACCAGAGACAGCGCTGGCTTCAGACAGGCTGGTGGCACAGGCTGCACCCTCCTGAGCTGCAAGCGGCCAGGGACCCAGGGGACTTGAGACACCTCTTGGGGACGCGCCAACTCCCTGGCACTCATGATGCATTTAAAAAGGAGAAAAACAAAACCTAAGGAACAAAATTCTGTACGTAGAAAACCCTAGTTCAGTTAAAACTAAAAAAAATCCAATATGGAGCTCTACAGTGGGTTTGCTGTTGCTGCGTGGGTTTTCTGAGGTGAGTGGGTCTGGCGCTTTGCCAGCAGGGGACGGACTCCTGCGGGAGACGGGAGACGGGGACCTGACCCGGGCCACTGTGCCGCTCAGGTGGCGTTCCTCTGGCGGACGTTCTTGCCTTTGTCGTTCACGTGGGGCGCGTTGCCTTTCCTGAGGACACAGGGCAGGGGCTCAGCATGTGGTGGTGCCTGGGCCTGGCACTGACCACTGGTAGTCAGAGGACAGAGGAGACTCCCCAACCCCCAAGGGCCAGGACTTACAGAGGTACGGACCCTGCGTCGTCATCTGTGGAGGAGAGGAGGTGTCAGGCAGGCCTGGTGCCCACAGGGCCTTTGGGAAGGAGCGTGTGCTGGGAAGCCCCCCACCTTGGGAAGTGGCAGCGCAAGGCCACGCCCAGCACAGGCCACGCCCAGCTGCATGCACGCAGCCCACAGGCTGGGGAGCCAGCCTCGCCATGCAGCTGCTGCCCAGGCTGCGGAGGGGCCCCTTACCGTGGAGGACACCGGTTGCGGCCGAGAGGAAGGAGAAAGGGTGGTGAGCCCATGGAGAGCAGACCCCAGCTGTCCCCCACCCCGAGAGCCTCACCTAGCCACTCACCATCCAGGGGCTCATCTGGCTTCCGCCGCTTCTCATAGATGAAGATGATGGTGACCAGCACCAGCACCTCTGCCACAATGCCCAGGAAGGGCCAAAGTGCAGCCAGGTGGCTGCGCACACGCAAGGTAATGGTGGCGTGGCTGGTGCCCTCTACATTGGTGCCGTTGCAGGCGTAGGTGCCAGGGTCGAGAGTCATGTCCAGCTCCTTGATGCGAAGCTCCGACCTGGCCCCTGAGGAGCTCACGAAGAACTTGCTCTGGGAGTCGTTGGTGATGACCTGACAGGGGCCTTGTCAGCACCTGGGAAGGGACAGGGCCATGGCCCCAGCCTCACCCCTCCCTGGACCTGTGGCCTCACCTGGTAGCTGGAGTCAACCACCTTGTACCAGACCCAGGTGTCAATGGGGGGGTAGGAGTCGGACTTGCAGACCAGTGTGACTGTCTCCCCCTCACTGGCGTGCTCGGACTTCCTGGTGGCCTTGATCACCGGGGGCCCTGGGGGTGGAGCAGGAGAGACCTGACACCCTGCAGAGCCGCTCCCCTCACTCCGATGCCACACACAAGGAGCGGGCTCCTGGGTCCCCTGCCCTGCCCATCTCCAGGCCACAGCACTCACCAGGCACTGTGACTGCGGCCCTGCCCAGAGCCTCCTCGGGCAGGAAGACACAGAAGTACTCGCCCATGCTGCCCTCCTTGTTCATCCTGCAATGGGGCAGTGGCTGTGAGCCTGGTCCTCCCGGGAGGCTACACATGGCCTGGGTTTTACCCTCCTGCAGGTGAGGGGGCCCTGTCCCAGTGAATGAGCAGCCCCCTCAGCCTGCCCTGCCCTGCACCCTGGCAGTGGAACTAGGAAATGGCCCTGTGCTCCCCTTGGGAATTCCAGCCCAGACCAAGGCGTCCACGTTCTGCTCTTCCGTGACAGCACAGAGCTGCAAGGATCCCTACCAGACCCAAGGCTCCCTAGGGCTCCTGGCCGTGCCTGCTGCCACCCCACTCACTGGTATTCGGTGTGCAGGTCGGGCAGTTCGTCTTCCTTCAGCACCTTGCCATCCCTCAGCCACTGGTGCCCCGTGACAGCGATGTCACTGTGGTTCATGAGGCAGGTCAGGTACACCTTGGAGCCAATGTCATTCACAGTGGTCGTGATGGGGCCCACTGGGAACCACAGGCAAGACAGAGATGAGCACAGGATGGAGAGGGCCTCGCCTGCAGGATGCCCAGGTCCCCTTGGCCCTGCCACAACAGGGTGGGCAAAGAGGGCCCCATCCAAGTGGGGCCTGTCCTTGAGGATGCCAAGAACACCCCGAAACCCTCTGTGAGGACAGAAGACCATCTGCGGGAGGGGCCCCGGCCGGCGGGCTAGGACTCCTTTCCAGGACAGAGCCGGGGACCCTCAGCAAACCTCCTGCTCAGCTGCCCGAAACCCTCAGGAGTCCAAACCTGAACACCAAGTGCTAGAGGCCAGAAGCACCACTGAGCCGAGACACCACTCAAGTGGCAGACCCCACAGCCACTGGACACACGCAGGGGGGGACAGGTCATCAATGAGGGGTGCAGAGTGGACAGACGGAGCAGGATGGGCGGACGGGTGGAGCAGGAAGGCAGGGCCTTTGGCTCCTGCCCAGGCTGTGCTCCTGCCTCCAGGTCAGAGTCCTGGGCTGGGCTGGGCTGGGCTGGGCGGAGAGCTGGGCTAGGGCATCTGGGTTCTACCAAGCAGGAGCCAGGGCGGATGGCACGAGAGGGAAACTGAGGCAGCTGACCCAGCCACTCACATTCAAGGACCACCACGCTTGCCTGGGTGTGGACCCATTTTACTCTGGGTGCCCAGGTCAGGTAGTTACGGTTGGGGTCCTTGCTGGCGAAGCACTCATATGTGCCCGCGTCCTTGGCGGTGAGGCCCTCGATGGACACGGTGCTGGCCGCATGCTGGTGGTAGGCGGCGTGGATGTGGACATGGTCCTGCTGGGCACCGTCCCAGAGCAGGAGCAGGAGTTGCTGGCCTGGTTCCCTTCAAACCACCACTGGATCTCGGGGATAGGGCTGCCAACCACCTCGCAGTGCAGCTAGATGCTGCCCCCTGCCCGCCCCTTCTGGGACAGTGGGCCTGTGAGAAAGCCAGCTACGGGAGAGGGTCAGGGCCGTCATCCTTGGGTGGCCGAGCTTCCTCTGAGCTCCCAGGGAGGAGTGCCCAGGGAGCCAGGTGGCTGCTGTGCATAGGGGAGCCCGAGGCAGGGACAGCGTCCCTACCCAGGGCCGGAGTCCTCAGTGGGGACACAGACTGATAGCAACTGAGACCATGGATGGCTCCAAACAAAGCACAGGACTGGGTGGGACAGTGACCCTGGCCCGAGGGTCCAGCCCATCAGAGCCTCCAACCCCCATCATCCTGACTGGGAACTCTGGTCCCAGCCAGCAGGCACAGCCCGAATTACACTGGAGCCCTTCCCCGATCATATGGGAGATGCTGCCCGTGTGCAGGTTCCTCCATCCACAGAGGGCCAGGCCAGCAGTGGGGCACAGTAACCCTCTAACTCCAGAAGGGTAGGTGATCCTCCAGCCCTCACAGCAGGCTCCCCTCTCAAGCCAAACCTCAGAATCACCCCGGGAATCTCTGATGAAGGGCCCACAGGGGTGGGGCCCAATAGCAGGTGTGGCCAGGTGAAGGGTGCTGGCTTGGGACACAGGGTCACAGAACTGCAGAGGGGCAGGGGATACTCAGACACCTTGTGGCAGCTGTTGGCAGGGCTGGCCCAGCGGCAGGCGGGTTCCCACACCTGTGTGCATGAGGACATGCACCTGCAGACTCATGTGTGCACATGCTCAGCTCAAAGAGGAAGAGGATCAGGTTGCAGCCTGTCTGCAGACTGACACACGCACAGCGCATGCTCAGCTCTGAGTAGGGAGCAAGTCACTGCCCAGGGCCTGAGGCTATTGGCTCTGGAGCAGGGGTGGTGCCTGCCCCAAGGGTCCCAGGATAGGGCCTAACGCCTGCCCACCTGAGTGGACCATGGCACACAGGGCAGGCCAAGACACTTGGCAGCCACTTCTGGTGGTCCCTTTTGACAAGGGATCTCCTAGTAACCTACATTTCCTGGGACTGGGGTCCCTCTGTCTACTCCAGGCAACCAGAACTCAGGGGTGGTAGGAAGTGAGGGAGAGGCCGAAACCCCTTCTCACTCCTATGTGCCCGCTTGTCTTACAGCCTGGGAGCAGGACAGGCTCCCCATATGTGGGCTCAGCGTCACTTCTTCAGGGGACCAGGGCAGCAGCCACTCTCGCCTTGGCAGGTCCTGTCCCAGCTGCCCCCTGCCACCTCCACTTGCAGTGAGGGCTCAGCTGCCAAGGGCAGGTGCACCTTGTCCACACTCCCTCTCCAAACAGCTTCAGACACATAATGCTGTGGCCCCTGACAGGGTTGGTGCTGCCTGCAGGGGTGGCATTAAAATTTCACAGGGCCAGGATGTTGGCAAAGCAACCCCCAAGAGCTCAGGACGAGGGGAGCAGCTGAGCCATTGCCACCCTGGAGAAGTCCAGACTCTCCTGGCCACATGATTGCGGCCCACACCCTCCAGAAGTGACCTTCATCTAAAAACAGCCCTCCTCCTGTCCACTCACAGCCAGTTGGGGCACAGGGCCAGCTGGCTGCGGGGTCAACAAGCCTGCACTGCCTAGGCGGGTGTCCGAGGTGAGGGGCTCCCTCCGGAGGGTGTGGCCTGCACCTACCCTCGCCATGGAGATAGGAGTAACAAAGCATTCTGGGACGTGAGCCATAGATAGTCACCTCTCTCACCTGGGTGGAGCCCACCCATAGCAAATCGGTGCCCCCATCCTGGATTGCCAGCTTGGGGGGCCCCACCCCAGCAGAGGCCCCTTGGGGGACTCTTTGGGCAGGCTGCCTGTCAGGAGAGGCAACCATGGTCACGCTTTGCCCAGAGGGCCTGGAAGACCATGGAGCTTGGGTTGGGTCCAGCTCTGTGGCCCAGCATGGGAGAGGCCTAGGTTCCATGACTAGTACCCCCCTCTCCACACATACACGCACGCGCATGAGCGCACACACGTGTAAACACACACACGAGCACCCAGGCCCTCAGATTGTTGACTCTCTCCATGGGTAGGACAGAAAGTGCTGAGGAAAACAAGCACAAATGCCCCAGACCAACTGGGACACTTCCCACCCATGCAGGCTCTGCCTGGCATGGCCGTGTGGCTGCACAGGGAAGGGCTGGGGGATCTGACCTGAGGCTGAGCCTGCTGTTGGCAGAAACCCTGTTCAGGCTCTGCACAAGACAAAGATTCTCTACCCACAGGGCCGGGGATCTAGCTCAGTGGTTCCGGCACCTGCCTCTCAAGTGCAAGGTCCTGAGTTCGATCCCCGGTACCAAAAACCAACAACAACAACAAAAAAGATTCTCTACCCACAAAACCCAGGGTGGCCGTGGGGCCACCAGGGCCTTCCCCAGTGAGGAGTGGCTTATCTTCTGCCTTCACCTTGCCAGGGGCTTCTATCTGTGCCACCCCAGAACCTGCCTCTTGCCAGGCCCAGGACACTCCCAGGGAAGAGCTTGATGGGGCCCTGTCAATTTTGAGGGCTGGGAAATGTTAAAGTGGGTCAGGAACAGCCCCTTCCCTGGGGCCTGCAGTCCACTCTTCAGTCCGAGACAGCCACTGTGACCTTCTCTCTCCAGCAGAGCCTTAGACCCTCTGCCCTTTGTCCCCTACATGGTTGTCACTATAAATCTTTAAACCAGAAACAAATGAGGTTTTTAATAAAGGAAGAAATCCCCCCCGCCCCAGCACAAGAGCACAGTCTTGCCTGTCCCTGGAAAACACTCCTCTGTAACCTCGGCCAGAGTCCACTCCCCACACATGGCCCCATGGGCAGCACCAACCCCAAATGCCCTGAGTCTTCAAGATCAACCGTGCTTACTGCTCTGGCCAGGAAGCCCAAGCGACCTTGCTGTGACCTTGAACACTGGACTCCTTGGGCCTCAGTTTCCTCACCTATAAATGGAGCAGGGGGGCCGGGGATTTAGCTCAGTGGTTTCACTGCCTGCTGCGCAAGTGCAAGGACCCGAGTTCGATCCCCAGTACCAAAAAAAAAAAAGCAGGTGGCCATGAAGCCATCTCACACCTTCCTCCCTACATCGGGCAAAATCAGAGGTTTGTGCCAGGCGAGGGAGCCCCTGAGGGCGTGTGGAAGAACAGAGCTCCACCAGAAGGAGCCAAATCCCATCAAGAATGATAATCGCCCCAGGCTGGTTTCTAACACAACAGCCATTGTCCAGGCGCCTGAGGGAAGGTGTCACATGTGGGGGCAGGGGGCTCTCTCATCCTGGCACTGCCCAGGTCCTCCTCAGGTATCCTTCCCAGGCCCTGTGGGGTCCAGTCTGTGGGGGCCCAGGCTGAGGGGCCTAGGATCAGCCCCAAGGCCTGGGTCCAACCCAGGGGTTTCCTCAAGCCCCCAAGCTTGGGCTTCCCTTCTCCTGGCCACCAATGCCCCTAGTGCCCTCATTCAGGGGTCAGGCTAGGCCCTTGACCAGGGATACCCCTCATCTAGGCCACAGAAAATCAAGGACAACACCTCCTATACACCCACATACCGCGGCAGGGATATCTGGGGGGTGCCTGGGGTCAGCCTTGGTTTGGATTCCCCCCAACTTGTGCACACCACCCCCAAGCACTGCCACCCCCAGAACTCCCCAGGGTCACCTCTCCCCTCCAGGTGCAGTCCAGACTGGGAGCTTCTCACCCTGGCGGCCTCCAAGTGGGAAACCCCAAGGGGATGACTCCCCTTCACCCTGTCCCCCTTCCTTTCAGAGACCCCCAGGCCCACGGCGCTCCTTAGCCTGCAAGCTCAGCTCAGCCTAGATAAGGTTCACCAAACTCAGGGTCATCACCCGCAGGCACCGATGACTTCTCAGGATAAACTTTCACCCCCCAAACACACTCTTATGTCGATGGGGTGGGGACCTCAGGCAGCAGCCTCCTCCACTCCTGGGTCCCTAGGGCCTCCATAATCCTCAGAGACGCTGTTGTCCCCCTGGGCAATGTGGTCCCTTCAGAAGCTCCAGGATAATCTCCCACCCAGTCTCTCAGGGTGGGGACCCTCAAAGCGATGAACCCCTAACACCCCGTCCCTCCAAGACCCCCAAACCTCAGGGACGTCGCCCCAGGCACACCCGCGCCCCCAAACCTCTAGGATCACCCTTCAGCTCCATTCTCCCAGACGAGGACCCCACCCCCCGCTCCTCTCCCACCCCCATCTCCTCGGGCATCGACCCCTTCCACCTCTGACCTCGCGGAGACCCCCCAAGGCCCGGACGCCCCTCCAGGCTTCCTCATCGGGCCCGGCGACCTCGGCCCGCTCCTTACCCGCCGCGGAGGTGCCCTGGACGTCCAGCAGCACGAGGCCCAGCGCCAAAAGCAGCGCAGCCGCCATGTCACCCGTCTGTCCCCGCGCCACTCGCCGCGCCCGTCCCCGATGCTGCGCTATAAGAAGGGCAGGCTTCGGCGGGGCGCGCGCACGCAGGCAACGTACCGGGGCGGGACGCCCAGAGCACGCAGGACCCCCCACGTCCTGCGCATGCGTACTTAAGCACGTGCGTTAATGCCAGCTGAGCAAACTCACCTACGGAAGCCGGAAGGGCAGCAGCTGGGGAACGTGACCCAGTCCGCCCCTCGGCCAGGAGGCGGGGCTCAGCGTTGCTGGGAAGCCAGGGTGATGCCCGCGGGGCGGGGTGGATCCTTGGCGGATGCTTATTTCGTTCTTTCTAAATTGAGCTTTGAGCTGTAGGGTTGAAGTGGTGAAAACCGTGTATTTTTGAAGATGAGATTCAAATAAAGTTTTGCTAAATAATTTTTAATGTTAGATTTTATTTAATTAATATTGGGGAGGCCGAGCCCAACAATCTGGAGGCTGAGGCAGGAGGATCGCCTTGAGCTCCAGGCCAGCCTGGGGTACAGTGAGTTCAAGGCCAGCCTGAACTGCATACCGAGATCTTGTCTCAAAACAAAGGGGGAAAAAATGTTCAGAGAGAGGGAGATTCCTCTTCCTAAAATAGAAATACGTGGACAGCCTTTAAATTAGAATGCAAGGTGAAGAACAAAGAAGTTTTTTGGTAAGTATTCTGTATAATATTTGGATATAGTTATATGAAGAAAATATTCACTGTTTATGTGAAATTCAAATTTAACTGGTCACTGGTGCTGTATTTTGTTTGGCATCCGGACCCTGAGGCCCCAATGTCATAAGACAATGGACAAAACTTCAAAGAGGATTAAGAAAGACAACAGGTGAGTACTCTTGCTACCTGGGGCTATGAAGCTGACTCCCCCCCCCAAAAAAAAACCCCCACAAGCAATGAAAGAAAAAATGAATTTCAGCAAAATCAGAAATTTTTGGTGCTGGAGATTGAACCCAGGGCTCCCTACACTTAATTATTTAAAACCATTTTTGGGCCGGGCATTTAGCTCAGTGGTTTCGTCGCCTGCTGCGCAAGCTCTAGGACCCGAGTTCGATCCCTGGTACCAAAAAAAAACCAACCAAAAAAACCCCATTTTCTTGGGCTGGGGATTTAGCTTAGTGGCACCTTGCCTGCCTCACAAGCACAAGGTCCTGAGTTGGGTCCCTGGTATAGAAAAGGGGAGGAGAGGAGAGGGGAGGGGAACATTTTCCTATGACGAACAGCAAGAAAGTGAAAGACATCTGTAGAGTCGGGGGAGGGGTGAAAATATTTGTAATCCTACATCTGATAAAGGACTGAATTTATAACAAACACAAGCTGAGGGGGCCACGAGTTTGTAATCTCAGCATTTAGGAGGCTGAGGCAGGAGGATCACAAGTTCGAGACCAGCCTGAACTACGCAGAGAAACTCTGTCTCAAAAAAACCAAAATGCAGAGTGAGAGACTTCCCACCCACTAAGTGGGCTGGAATCTAAGAAGCACACTAGAGCAGGCTGGTGAGATTGTGGTAAATGGGAACTTTCCCACTGCTGCTGGGAATGAACATGGTGCAACCGCTGGGAAAAGAGCCCAGCAGACCCTCAGACGCCTTAAATAGCTGAGCATGGTGGCGCATGCCTGTCCTCCCAGCACTTGAGAGGCTGAGGCAGGAGGATCACTAGGAGTTTGAGGCCAGCATGGGCTACACAGAGAGATCCTGCCTCAAGAGGCAAAAAACCAAACCAAACCAAAAGCCCCTACCCCACGGGCCCCCGGGCTTGAAATTCACACAGATGGGGTCAGAAGGAAGCTATGTGCAGGACAAGGGCCACAGGGGGAGCCACAGGAGGAGCAGCCAGCTGGCATCAGAGTCTCTCCAGGCTCACAAACACCCCTGCTGCCCCCCTGCCCCATCCTTTCCTTGCCAAGTCGAGGCCTCTGGGAAATTGCAGCACTGCCAGGAACCTTTAGCCTTTGTTTACAAATGCAGCTAGGGCCCCCTCAGAGACCCAGTTTCTAGTTTCCTTGGCCAAGTGCCTCCCTGAGCCCTGTGTGGTGCGGGGACCAGGAGGCTTCTCAACAACCTGGGCTGCTCAGTTCTGGCCCCTTGTCTTCTAGGACCAGCCCCCGAGGGGAGCCAGGTTTAGGAAGTAAAAAATACTGCATCCCTCCCTGGCATCCCAGCACTCTGGGAGGCTGAGGCATGAGGATCGAGGATCGAGGCCAGTTCCAGACCAGCCTGGGGAATTTAGCAAGCTCCAGGAAGTGCTCAATCAACACAGAGTCACCACCTGATATAGGTTGGACATGGGAGCTTGGGAGAGGCAGGAGATCCCCAGCTGGAGAGAGATGGTGGTGATGGGGTGAATGGTGGCACCCCAAAAGATAGGTCCCCCAGAGCCCAGGCATATGGCTTTATCTGGAAAAAGGGTCTTTGCAGATGTAATTGGTGAAGGATATTATCTGGTGATCCTGGATCAGGGTGGGCCCTAAATTCAGTGACAGTGTCCTTAGGAGGGGCAGAAGAGCCAGGCACAGTGGTGCACCCTTGTAATCTAAGTACTCCAGAGGCTGAGGCAGGAGGACCATAGTCAGTTCCAGGCCAGCCTGGGCTACATAGTGAGTTTAAGCCTAGGCTGAACCACATAGCAAGACCATGTCTCAAAAACCAAAACTAACCAAACAAAATAAGACAGAGGAGGTTCCAGGCACAGTGGCTCCTGCCTGTAATCCCAGCTACTTGGTGGGAGGAACTGAGGCAGGCAGATGTCATATTTGGACAAGGCCTAAGAAACCTCCGAGGAACCTTGGAGGGATGTTGCCCTTCAGGACCTGGGTCTGGGCTTCAGGGCTGCACATGCACATGAGGGCAGATGGGGTCCCGTTGTTGAGACAGGAGTTAGGATTCCATTAGTCAGTGAGGGTGTGGCCTCAGATGGAGTCTGCTGAGTCACCACCTGCAGGGATATTTAAAAAACATCTGCCAAGTGGCCAGTGGCTGTCAGGGATCTCCCCAGAGCAAGATCAGGCAGGCCATGGGCTCAAGGGCGCATGGGCCCTGCATGGGCACCGTGGGAGCACTGCGTGCCTAGATTGGACCCTAAAAAGTATGTAATCTCATGCCAGGTGTGGTGCCGTACACCTGTGATCCCAGCACTTGGCAGGCTGAGGCAGGAGGATGGCCATGAGATCGAGGCCAACCTGGGCTACATAGTGAGACTCTGTCTCAACAAACAAACAAACAAACAACAAAGTGTGTAGTTCCCATAGGATAGAGATCATATGGTTTGCACAAGGGCCCCAGCTCCCTTCGAAGGTCCTTAAAATCCTCTAGACCAGTGGTGGCGAACCTATGTCACGAGTGCCACAGTGGGCACGAAGAGCCCTCTCTGTTGGCATCCGAACCAAGTGTATGAGTTGTTTTTTCTAAACTAGAACCTCAGTATTCAGGTTTAATTGCAGTGTTGGCACTTTGCGATAAATAAGTGGGCTTGGGGTTGCAGTTTGGGAGCTCATCTCTAAAAGGTTCCCCGTCATTGCCCTAGTCAAAGAACCTCAGCTAACGGGAACTCTGCTTTGTCTTTACATCTTTTAAATAAGTGTGCCTGCACCCTACTTCCTCGGTCTGCTGTTTCATTCTTTGTCACCATGGGCCAGTCTGTGGACATTTTGGGGCAGTTGGGCAGTCTCACACTGTGTGGATGGGAATGAGGTCCTGCAGAGCCTTTGGTGCCCAGGTGACAGATGTGAGGCTATGAGTAGCCGGGACTTCTCTCTGAGGCATGGGGCCTGAGAGCCAGGAGGGGCAGGCAGTCCAACACCTGGGAAGCCAGAGGCGCCAGCTGGGCTACAGGATGGGCTTTAGGGCTGGGTGCGCCTGGGTGGAGCTGGTACCTGCTGAGTTCTCACCGGGCTACCCTTTGACTACCATCCATTCCTCCCTGCGTCAACTGATCTGTTCCCCAGGAAACAGCAGATTGTTGGTACAAACGCACCAGTTACTTCCTCAATTGCAAGTTCTGGGGCCTTTTGGCTATGGATTGTATGCTTTCTTTTTTTGTTTTTCCAGTACTAGAAATTGAACCTAGGGCCTTCACACTGAGCTGTACACATCCAGCCTTTTGTATTTTTTTATTTTGAGACAGGGTCTCAGTAAGTCAGTAAATTGTCCAGGCTGAGCTTGAACTTTTGGACATCCACTTGCCTCAGTCTCCTAGAGTGCTGGGATCACAGGTGTGCACCACCATACCTGGCTCACAGGCTGGATTCTCTTCACACACACACACACACACACACACACACACACACGAGTGTGTGGTCTTTGTGATGAGCTGCAGATGGCCCAAACTGTAAAAATAAAGCAAAATAAATAGGAAAAGAAAGGCAGTCTCATCCCTTCCTGGCCTTCCCAGCCACCACGGTGGTGCTGCGGTGGGTGTGGGTGGTCAGGAAACCTGCATATGGCAGGGGGCGTTGGGGACATCGTGGGGACCCTGAGCCAACCTCTCCTGCTGAGTCTGAGGATCTCCGGATGTTTCAAGGTTCAGCCCCCAGGTTTCTTGGGTATCTTTGACACAGGGACTAACAACTGGATTCTTTCTTTTTCCCCTACAATGTATTTTGAAAAATCCTCTCCCTACAGAGAAGTTGTAAAGATAATGCTATCAACATCCAGTGGCCTTCTCCTGGATTCTCGCTTGGGAACATGTTGTCCTCTCTCTGTCTCTCTCCTCATTTTTTTCCCACACTGACTTGCTGGCAAGTCCTGGCTGTCATGATCCTAAGCCTCTAGCCTGTGTCCCCTAAGAAGTCACAGAGACCCTGGCATTGGGGCGCACACATGTCATCCAGTGATACAGGGGAAATAAATATAACTGCCAAGCTGCTAGATGTCAGATACGCCAAGTTTGTGTTCCTCCAAATGGAAGAATGAACTCTAAGGAACAACGGAGGTTAACAGTAGGAAAACTAGGGCCGGGGATTTAGCTCAGTGGCACCAAGCCTACCTTGAAAGCACAAGGTCCTGAGTTCGATCCCTGGTACCAAAAAAACAAAAAAAGCCAAAAAATAAAATAAACTTTAA